GGTCCAGTCTGGTTCTGGAGGACTGATCGTGTTTGCATTCCAGAGCTGCTTTTAATGTCCTGAATCAGCCGTGAGCTGGCTGTACTGGACACGTGTCATGTCCGAGGTGTTATCAGAAGCGAGGCTGTAGGCGAAGGAGAGGGTTCTTCGTCTCAAACGATTCCCTCCTCGCCCCGTCCCCAGGAGGTCCGCAAGACATTGACCGTGGCGCACAACTGTCGAAAACCCAGCTCGGTCTCCGCATTTCGGAAGCCTCTTCGTTAATCGCGAGCTCCTTTTTTTTCCCCCACGCGGCGAAATTCTCTCTCTACAGTCGCACGAGCTTTTTAATGAAGCTGCAAAAATTAAAAAGGTAAAAATCTGCTTCTGGGGCGTTTCTGTAAAAGTGCGAAAAATGCGCATCTTCTATGGCGGCCGCCCAGGTGTCTAACAAACAGAGACACCAAATAACCTCTTTCGTCCCCCGGACAGCTCGTCATACTGGGCCCACACAGTGACACAGAGCAGACCCTCCCGGTTCTGGTTCTGTCAGAACCCACAACTCCTGGCCCCGCGTGTCAACCTGACTTCCGGCTTTCGTCCATCTGGGCTGCGCGTCAGTGAGGCTCAGGGGCTCGCGGCTGATGAATATCTTTTTCGGCTTTTACCACGTGGGATGGGCTCAATAATCCGCATCAGTCCTGAACCCTTCAAATCACGCAGGTGTGCCCAGTAAGCGACAGGACTCCTGCGGGGGACAGGGGAGCATTTTCAGGTGGAAGAGTTGATACAGAATCATTCCCTCCTTTATCTGGAGATCACGAATTGATGCCTAGTTAATGAATTAATTAGTTTTTTGTTGTGCCGTCAGAAAAAAGGGCGGCGGGTGACTTGATCCCTGCTTCCTAAGCGTCTCTGCCAACGCTGCACCTGCAGCAGGTTCTTTCTGACATCTGACTGAGGACAGAGCGCGGAAACAGGCTAACCCTGCGCTACGGGTCTGTCTCTTCAGGGTGGCCGTGGGATCTGCTCGGTGTGGAGCTCTGGCGCGCTGCTGTGCACGTTATCAGGCAATTGTACTGGCGTGCCCGCAGCGTCACGGGCGTTCGCTCCTGAACTGACCAATAATTCTCCTGTGATCCTGTGATCTCGGGGTGTCTACTGCCGCAGCAGATGAGCAAAAACGAAAACTCTGTTGTCGTTGTTTTTTTTTTTCCTTTTCGTGCATGGCCCCGCGATAACGGGCCAGTTTGAGAACAGCGCGCCCTGCCCCGTCCACACCCCCGCCACTTTCGCGTCTGGGGTGGGGCCTCCGCTCTCGGGGGCGCGCTTTCCTCTTGACCGGTCACCGCTCTCGGTCCACCTCAGCGGAAAAGATTCATTTCTTCATTGTGCGATGCAGTGCAAACTCACGCCCACCACCCTCGTCAACTGCGGGAGCGGCAGGCACAGGCCGGGCCGCGGCGGCCGAAAATCCACTCGCACTGCCGCTGGGCGACTAGAAGACGATCATTCTGCCCCTTAGTCTCTCAGAGACGTTGTCGAAACCCGAGTGTAGCCGTAACTGCGAAAACGGCTGCGTTCGTCTTTGAAGAAGATGCGCATCAGTGTCATTTCTTTTCACCTTCGTTTATAAATACTAAAGATCATTTCTAGGAAATGAGTTGGGGGATGGTGAGAGGGGAATATAAACATCTCTATACAGTTGCCAGATCTCGATACTGTTGTCAGCACAGGCGACAGAGCAGGAAAGTTCAACTCATTTCCCATCGCCATGATCTTCATCACAGCCTCAGCTGGAGGTGATCTTTCTCAAAAGGCTGGTGTGGAGCAGGGCTACAGGCATTCTGAACCCCTGTGCTATGCTCTGTGCATCATCCCATTCAAGCAGCCCGACATACAATTTATTGGGTGTGTGTGAGGTGCAAGTGTCTTATACAGATACAGTAAATATCCATCGGCTGTGTCCCCCTGCAGCTCCCAGCTGGCCGCCCACTGGAGCTCAGCAGGTGGGAGCCTGGCCAGTACCTGGATGGGAGACTCCTGGGAAAAACTAAGGCCGCTGCTGGAAGAGGTGTAAGTAGGGCCAGCAGGGAGCGCTCACCCTGCGGTCTGTGTGGGTTCTAATACCCCAGTATAGTGACGGGGACACCATGCTGTAAAAAAGGTGCTGTCCTTCTGATGAGACGTAAAACTGAGGTCCTGACTCACCGTGGTCATTAAAAATCCCTGGGTGTTTCTTGAAAAGAGAAGGGGTGTTACCCTGGAGGCCTGGCCAAAGTTTTCCCATTGGTCCTTACCAATCATGGCCTCCTGATAGCCTCCCTCTCTGAACTGGCTCCATCACTCTGCTCTCCTCCCCACTGAGAGCTGGTGTGTGGGGAGAGGACTGGAGCATCATCCAGGTGGGGCTGCACACTGGTGGGGGTGGAGGGGATCTCCATTACCTGTAAAGCACTTTGAGTGGAGTGTCCAGAAAAGTGCTATATAAGTGTCATCAATTATTATTATTATTATCGCTCAGCGTCCGAATCCTGAAACCGGATCCGTTCAGGCAGTGGGAAAAGTTAAAGATGGAAAAGTGTTTTCCAGTAACTGTCGCAGTTTATGGTGAGTTACATTATATTAAAACTCTAACCCTTTGCAGCCCTGTTAGAACGACAGGCTGCGTTTCACTGCTGAGGTCTGACAGGAGTTACAATCCTGCAGGACAGTTCAACAGTCTTCCTTGATGTTGCCACTGTGGCCTCATGGAGCCGGGATATTGTCCAGAGGATCAAGGGAGCTGTTAGCTTGAGCACTGCGCCCGGAGAGGGGTGCTGGGAGAGGAGCTTGCCGATACTGCAGCCACTGGGTGTGGCATCCGGAGTGGACATCTGCAAACAGAATTTAAAAAGGCATGGTGGTTTGCGCGTGCATTGTGCATGGTCTCCAATAATAAGAGCCCCGGGTGTTTATTAATAAGCGCCGCAGTGGGGCCAGAGAGAGCTTTTGGAGAAGTCGGCCTCCCCACTGTCCCTGGAGCCAGTGCGCGGCCCAAGCCACTTCTCCAAACGCGCAGCCCTGTGGCCCGAGAGGCGCCGGGCCGCGCTCACTCCGAGCCCTGCTCATTGCAGAGCCCCGGGTGAGGAAGCAGCACGACCGCTGCCTGTTTGTGCAAAAGGCAAGCTCTCTCTCAACATCGCCTTGCACAAGTTATCTGCGTGTTTACAGCCCGGACCGCAGCCGCAGGGTGAATTCTGTTGGGCCCCGTTCGGCGCCTTTTTTTCCTGTGTGTGTGTGTGGGAAATGGGAATGAGAGCGCATGGGCGGGCAGCCAGCGCCCTGCCGGATTAAAATGAGCGCTCCTCGACTTATGCCCAAGGCAGTGCTCTCCAGTGGCCGTGTCTGCGCCGGGCCCCGCAGTGGGCGATGAGCTGTCCATCCTCTTCCTGTGTTCCGCAAAAAACCCTAATTTTACATAAGCAACATAACGGCATTGTCTTCATTGTGCAGTCAGGGACAGCCACTTTCTTGCCTGTTTGCTAGACATTTAACTTAATGGTATGGGTTTTGCAACTCGACTGATATCACATTTTTAAGAAGTTGCAGAATTTCTGCATGACTGATTTGGGGCTTCCTGTGGAACCTGTGCTTACATTTCTCAGTAATGTTTTAATTCCCTTCAGCTGACTCATATGTTCATCTTAATTCATAACAAGGCTCTGCTGTTAATCAGATGAGATTGACTCGGTTTCCCTCTCTAACCCTCCATTTTGTGCTGTGTAACTTTATTATGATAATAGTCGACCTTATCAGATTCTCACAAACCTTATCTGTGCCCTCGCTCTTTATACATTGTTGCAGAGAGAAGATATCGGGCATGCAATCTAGATTGTTTCCATAAGAGCACAACTGCTTTGTCACGCTGCGTGTGTGTGTGCGTTCAGCCCGCGTGTTTGTGTGTGTCTGTGTGTGCAAGGAGGTGCTTTTGTGCTCGTGTTGGGGTGACAGGGTGTGTGTCGGCACGGTCAACTCGGCGTAGCTGAAATAGTGTGACGTGTCTAAGGCTGTGACTGTCATTGAGCCAGGTTGGGTATTTAGAGCTACCGACAGTGAGTTGACCTTGCAAATGGATTGTCTGAAATGACTGAAACGTTACTGGTCATCTGAAGAAGCCTGTGGAAAGCAAAGCCCAGCTCCTCTGTCGCAATTTGGTTGGTGCTCTGTGCTGTGTGCAGACTCTTCAGTTTCACTGTGTTTTTCTCTGCTCTTTACACTCTTATGGCTTTTTCCTGTTAAACAGTGTACGAAGCATCAGCTTTTGATTCAGAATATTAGTTGAAATGTCTTGAATCAGCTCCCAAGCTTTTATGACGGCTTAAAGATGGGAGAAATCCTATCCCTGGTGTCAAACGCTAGCGGTTTTCTGGCGGGACAGAGAGGGTGCCAGCAGCAGGAGTCATCAAGTAACACCAACAGGTCCAAAGATCTTTTTCATTTAGACAGAGTTTCCCTTTTTCGAAAAAAAAAATATTTTAACACTTTTCTCCTTTTCAACTCCTTGGCATTGGGGTGAACACGTCCTCCTGGAGAAAGCTGCGTCCGAGATGGGCGCTTACTCGCAGTGCTTCCCTTGTGTAGCGCGCAAGCGCAGGACCCGCTGGGGCTGTGCACACGCCGCAGGTCACCAAAGGCCACCCACTTTCTTTGAAGTCAAATTTTAGTTGCTGGGTCTTTGGTATTTTTTTTTCTTTCTCTCAAGGCTCACTTTCAACCACATTGAAAAGGGGAGGTTTTGAAAGCAGGGCTCTTCGAAAGGAAGTCCGCCGGGCAAAGAATAGCGTCTGTGTCTGGAAAGTCACCCGCAGCTTCTCCTGCGATAAAAGGGAAAAGGTGTTTTTTTTTAGAAACAACATGCAAATCGCCACAGCTTCCCCCGCGGTTCGTCAGTTGAAGTTTTTGAACTCAAATCGTCAATTAAATTGCCGATTTAAAAATCAGTTGAGTTTGTGCCGTTTCTTGGGCGCCGATGGTGCCTTTTCCTGGGCTCTGTGTTTCTGGGCTCTGTACGTCCTCCTCGGACCCTCGCTGCTCAGAGCGGATTCTGAGACCCAGCGATCTGCTCCTGCCCCTCGCCGTCCTGGAAGTTGCTCACTGGTGCCCCACAATGCTGTGCGTCTGTTGCTCTGAGCCTTCTCGGAGCAGAGCTGCTGCAGCTGCCTGTGGAACAATGTACGCAGACAACACACTGGCAGTATTGCATCTTGCCTTGACCCCTGTAAGTGCTCTGTCCCAGGCCGCAGTGTTACATCTATGTAAGTATTTCTGATGGAATTAATATGAGAATAGCTTTCAAATCACACAATACGTTCGTATAACTTCCCCATGGTTTCAGCATGAGCAGCAGCTGGTGGAGAGCTGTGATCAGGGGCCTCACCTGTCGCAGGTAGACCTTGTGATAAAGGCCAAGCACCTGGCTGCCATCGGGGGATTGTTCCCAGCAGGTGTTTGTGATTCCTCTTTGGATCGGGGCTCTTTAGTTTATTAAAAGCTGATAACTGCACACTCTCATACACCTTATGCCTCTCGCAGGAGGTATAGTGATGCCTCTGTTCCAGCACGGGCGGCGCGGTGGTGGGCTGGTTAGCACTGCTGCCTCACAGAGCAGGGGCCCTGGGGCCTCTTCCTGGGGTGCTGTCTGTGTGGAGCTTGCATGTTCTCCCTGTGTTCATGTGGGTTTCCTCCCACAGTCCAAAGACATGCTGGTAGGTTCATTAGCTTCTGGGAAAACTGTCTCTGGTGTGTGTGTGTGTGTGTGTGCCCTGTGATGGGCTGGCATCCTGTCCAGGATATATCCCGTGCCCGTCTCTCCCCGGGACAGGCTCCAGCTCCACTGAGACCCCAGAATTGGCTACGGTGTTGGATGGATGTCCTGAATGGCAGAGTCTGTGGGTAATTAATATTTGTCTAGTTATGCCATTCCCAGGGCAGCTTCAGGTTAATACTGGAATGCATTTCCGTTTCCTGAGACAGAACGTGTCTCACGTGCCGCCGCCGCCTGGACCTTCCAGCTCGCCCCCAGGGCAGGAAGTTACAGACCCGCACGTCCATGACATCAGCCCAGACCCGCCTCTCTCTCACACCAGCCGGGTCTCCCCGGAAGGTGCAGGGAGTCTGGGAGCAGGGCTCGTGCGACAGACACGGGCAGCACGCCAGGGAGAGCGCTTCCAGCAGCACCCTGTTCTCACGAAGTGTTTTCCCTTGAATCTCAGTGAGGGAGAAAAGTGTGACAGCCCATCAGCCACGCCTGTGTCAAACCTCACTCTTGAGAAACACAAAGGCGTCTCACCACACCTTCAGGCTGAATGTCCAGGATCGTTGACACAGGTTTTGGACTGTGAACGAAAGGAGGTGGTCGCACACTTTCGAACACTGTCGAGATTCTTTTCAGGCCCGTGCTCGGAGTGACCGTTCCTGCACTGGGTGTGAAAACTCAATCCGGATGAATTGATGAAAAATGCCCCCGGTTGCTGGCAGTTTGAAAAACAAAATGCAGCGTAACGGCACTCAGATACGCACGAAAAATCACAGGGCTTTGTTTTATTTCAGATCTTTGTTTTCTTGAAGCCCTGTGAAGTCCTGGGATACCTGTCCCGGCGGCTCTGCCCCAGCTGTGACCTGCTGTCTTTGTTTAGGTTCTGCTCGGTCTGCTCTTTGCTCAGACGTTTGCTGATAGACTTTAACGGAGCAGAGAATTCAAATGCTGTTGTGAAAGACTGTGCTGTCGGTTTTCTCTGGAATTGCGCCACACCTGTTCCACGGGGGTCGACTCTTGTGTGTTTTTATGCTTGCAGAGGTGGCCAACACACACACACTGCTTCAGGAGGTACCTTCACCGTGAACCCCTGAACCCCACACCGCCCACGGCCCTGCGAGCCCACCAAAAGGGTGCCCCGGCCCTTCCTCCCGCCCCCCCCCCCGATGATGGAGGATTCTGCAGAGACACGCTGGGTCTCCCCGGTCCTCATTGGGCCCGACCCGCTTTCCGGCTTCCCCTCCGAGCAGGGCCTGATCCAGACGGCGGAGGAGCCCGAGTCGTTCTACTCCAGCGTCGATTCGGACTTCACCACCCTGCCCTCCTACTTCTCCAGCCCGGCTCACAGCCGAGCCGCCCCGGCCTACCGGCATTCCCCAGGTCAGGCTCGCCCCCAGCGCCTTGCTTCCCACAGCGGGCAGCCGGAGATCAGGCCCATCGCACGCAGGCTGGTTCCTGTTCCATAGCAGCCCGATCCATGTCGGCCTTTACCGTGAGCTCTGGGCGTCTGTATGAGCGGCCAGCAGCAGGCCCTGGATATTAAAACCTTGTTACCTTGCTGGCTTGTTTTGTACAAAACCTCACAGGCAAACGTGTGATGGTAAATCGCATTAAATCTATTTCGTTCCTGCTTTATCAGGGCAGTTTGTACAAGAGCCTGCAGTGCGTAAAATCTTGATCAGATTTGTGTGCGCTGGGCACCTATCTCTTTTCCTGCAATGTTTCTTAAGACCTGTGTTGCACAATGTAAGATGCTTCTCTCTTGCAAATGTATCCTACTAATGTATATAGAAATATATCTGCATAATAACGTTATATTTGAACAATTGCAAACCCCTCACCTCCCCCTCCCTGTGTCTTGATCAGCTTTACCCTGCAAAACGGATATTTCAGGGTGTAACAGAGGCAGAACACGTGTCTCTCCGTCATCTCCCTCTTTAATGATCTTTTTTTCCCCTCTTGCTCTCCGTGTGATTTTAAACACCCTTCCCTCTCTCTGTCTCTCTGGTTTTCCCCCAGTGCGCCAGGTCTACTCCTCCTCCTCTCTCCTCAACAACCTGCAGTGGCTCGACGGGACGGCCCACTCCCTGAACTCTCCGTACAACCCCCCTCCGCACCCCTCCTGGTCCGTCGGCCCCTTCGGCAAGACGCCGCTGTCCTCCCCGGGGGGCTCCCTCTCCCTCTACCCCACCTCCTCCTCTTTCACCTCCCCCAAGGAAGGCCTGCCTTCGCCGGGCCGGGACGACAAGGCGAGCCCCAGGCTCCAGGAGGCCTTGAAGGCCGAGCGCCTCAGCCCCAGCAGCGGCATGGGGGGTGGCACTTTCCTGAACCTGGGCTCGGGCGCGGGGGTGGCCCACACACACTCCCACTCCTACACACACGCCCACACGCACGGGCTGGGACCCTATAGCCCCTACATGGCCTCCCCACAGGATTACAGCACGGGTGGGCTGTACCCTACGCCTGGGGGGCTGGTATCCCCTTCTTCGTACTCCCCCAAGCTGCGCAACAAGATGAGACTGTCCCCTTCAGGTAAGGAAAAAGAAATCGTCAGTAAACGTTCTTCATTGAACTGTGTTAGGAGCATAAAATAGGAAACCACCCATCTGACTTGTGTTTGTTGCTTGATCCAAGGATCTTACCCAGACGTTCCTTGAGATAAGTTACAATATCCGCTTCAGCAACTTGCTTGGGCGGCTTGATAGACGCTCCTTCAACCTGCGATCATTGTTGTGATGATAATGGCTTTAATTGTCGCCCGTGCAGCCTTGATTCCTTGATATTTGTCGTTACCTCGTGCGCTGGGTCCCTTGATGTGTACGCGCTGTGCTCTGCCCCGAACATTGAGCCCCCCCGGTGCAAACGCGATCCACCAGCCTGCTTACTGTTAAAGATAGTAATAATAATTAATAATCATTCCCTACACTTATATAGCACTTTTCTGGACACTCCACTCAAAGCGCTGTACGGGTAATGGGGATCCCCTCCCCCACCACCAGTGTGCAGCCCCACCTGGATGATGCGACGGCAGCCATAGTGCGCCAGAACGCTCCCCACACATCAGCTCTCAGTGGGGAGGAGAGCAGAGTGATGAAGCCAGTTCAGAGAGGGGGGTTATTAGGAAGGCTTGATTGGTAAAGGCCAGGGGGGGGAATTTGGCCAGGACACTGGGGTTACACCCCTACTCTTTTCGAGAAACACCCTGGGATTTTTAATGACCACAGAGAGTCAGGACCTCGGTTTCACGTCTCATCAGAAGGACGGAGCCTTTTTACAGTATGGTGTCCCTGCCACTGTACTGGAGCAGTAGGACCCACATGGACCACAGGGTGAGCGCCCCCTGCTGGCCCCACTAACACCTCTTCCAGCAGCAGCCTTAGTTGTTCCCAGGAGTCTCCCCTCAGGGTACTGGCCAGGCTCACTCCTGCTGAGCTCCAGTGGGCGGCCAGCTGGGAGCTGCAGGGTGATATGGCTGCTGGGCGTATCAAGATACTGCAGCGTTCCTGCGCCGCCGGTGCTGTCAGAGCCCCCCCCCGCGGCCCGTGAAGCCGGGTTGGCGGTCGGACTCGTGAGCGGTGCCCGCGGCCCCCGGGACCCTAATCCTGTCGTCTCTCTCCCACGGCTGGCAGAGGCCCGGGAGTGCGTGAACTGCGGCGCCACCAACACCCCCCTCTGGCGCCGGGACGGGACGGGCCACTACCTGTGCAACGCCTGCGGGCTGTACCACAAGATGAACGGGCAGAACCGGCCCCTCATCCGGCCCAAGAAGAGACTGGTACGTACGGCCCGCTTCCAATACCGGCTCCACCCACTCGGAATAACTCCGCTGGAAAGAGCGGGCGGCCGATACCACAATACTGAACGGCTTTCCGCCGCTTTCCGCTGTGCTCTGGAAAAGAAGGATAACTTCCTACTTCCCGTTCTCACTGACTGAGTCGTTTCACAAAAGCAGGACAGAAGGGGCAGAACCGGCATGAGGGAGAAACCCTATTGTACGTCGTACAGGAATATTATAAAAAGTCATTGGCGTCATGTCCAGGGTGTAGCCTGCTGCTTGCTGGGATAGGCCCTGGCTCCTCCGCGGCCCTGTGCGGGATAAAGCAGCTTGAGAACGGATGGATAAAAGGTCATCCGTTACAGGCAGGGAGCTGAGTGCTCCGAGTCGGTAGAAGATAAATGATCCAAAACATGCTAGTTAGAACTGGAAACAAATACACCTTCTGAGCCAAGCAGATCCCCATCTAGGAAAACGCAAAGAATAAAACAGGAAAATCGATAGTTGAACGCAGGAAGGAAATATCTGAGGAACAAGTGTATTCAAGTGTACTCTTCAGACTGTGTTGCCTCGGTGCCCGAGACCCAGAGGCAGGAAGGGAGCACGCCGAGCCGCGAACCCAGAGCTGAAAAAAAGGGAAATTAGAATCACCAAGAGAGAACAGACGAATACTGCAACAGAGCCAAAAACAGATGCAAACCTTTTTTTTTTTAGTAGTGCAACAGCAGAAGAGCTATAAAAGCCGAAGCAGTAGTTTGGGGGTTTATAAAACATGTAACTGGCCCTGAGGTTCTGCAAGGACGTGCATGATTCAAAACTTATAAAACTCATAGAAAAACCTATCATCACCCAGATTCACTTAAGGCAATAACACCCAGTGGTATTTATAGACTCCTAACTGAGATATTCCGTCCTTTCTTAGAATGAGTGCTGTACCCACAGGCAGGAGAATCACTTGTAACTGGACCAGACCGGTCTTAATTCTGCTATTGCTAAAGCTATGAAAATGATAGATTTAAACTGGGAGAATACTTAGAAAACAGGGGTGATTCAGGAGACAACCAATGTAGATTTAGAAAGGAAAGAACTTGCTGGCTGTGATTCTTCAAATAAAGCATTAAGGACAGTTGATAAAATATACAAGAAGACACATTTACACTTCAAGGAAGCTTGAGGTATGGTGCCTCATTAAAGCTTGATTCTCAAATTAAAATCCATGGGAATTCACAGTAATGAGTACTTTGAGCTGGTTAATGAACAGGAGACATTGCCTCACCTCACAGGGCACAACCATGTGAGTAGTGGTGTGCCACAGGGGTACCTTTTAGGCCCTTCGCTCTTCTTGATCTGATTCAGCTAATTAGATTCTGGTACTAACTAGTTAAATTTTCACATGGTACAAAAATGTGGGAAGCTCAGAAATACTGGCAAGAGACTTAGACAAAATACCTGACCCTTGTTAAGTGCAGAGTGATCCACACAGGAAGTAGTTCCAGGAACTTACACTACATATCCACAAGGGAACATGCAGTATATATAAAGTATATAGCGAGGCTTCCTGGTGCAATCTGGAGATAGTACAGTATCTGACTCATCAAAAACAGGTCCTTCAATAGATATTTTTCATTCCTGCATCACCAAGTTACTGACAATTAAACGTGCTTGTTGAGATGAAAGGTCCCTGCCTCCTGAGCTTTCTCCTGGACTTGAGCTCGTACTTCACCGCACTGCTGCCTGGTCATCGGTCCGCTGACCTCTGACCTTTCGCTTGGCGCACCCTTCCTCAAGCTATACTCCCGTTCTCCCCTGCCCTGCAGATCGTCAGCAAGAGAGCGGGCACCCAGTGCGCCAACTGCCACACGAGCACCACCACCCTGTGGAGACGCAACGCCAGCGGGGAGCCCGTGTGCAACGCCTGCGGACTCTACTTCAAGCTGCACAACGTGAGTGCCGCTCGCCGGGCACTGCCGGCCCGCACACCCGGCCCCTCTCCTCGCCTTTTCATTCACAGGCCCTCTCCGGGCTTCGGACAGCAGCTGTCCCGTTCAGCGGCGTAGCCAGGACTGTGTACTGGGGGTGGCAGGGACACCAGTGGGGGGGTGGCTTTGTAAAACGATACTATTTTCCTTCTGACACGGGAGGTGCAACTACAAGGCTCCCTGCTGTTCTCCCCTGCACCAGGGACACTGGTGACCCCTGTCCCACACTGGTGACCCCTGTCCCACACTGGTGACCCCTGTCCCACACTGGCTCCGGGGCCATGTGCCGCGTTCACTGACCTGCGCGGGGATCGGTCTGCACCGGCCTGCGCCTCATGCGCCTGCACTGCCCAGCTAGTACAGGCTACACGCGCGCTCCTAGTGAATCATTTCAGAGGCGTCGGAATGGTCTCCTGTGTTACCTGCTTTTGGCGGTAAACTAAGGACAATACGGGGTGTTTGGTAACATCTAAAATGGGGTGGCAAAGCCATATTTGGGGGGTGGGGGGTTTGTGCCGGTGTCCCCAGCGCCGGTGTGGGCCTCTGCGCTGTCGGGCCGGCTTGACCTCTGACCCCGGTGTCGCTCTCGCTGCCCGCAGGTGAACAGGCCCCTCACCATGAAGAAAGATGGCATCCAGACCCGCAACCGCAAGGTCTCCAGCAAGAACAAGAAGGGCAAGAAGGGGGCCGAGGCCTCCTACTCAGAGCTGTCCCGGGGCCTGGGGCTGGAGGAGCAGGGGGGGCCCTTCTCGCTGGGGCCCGGGTCGCTCTCCGGCCCCCTGCTGCCCTTCGGCCACCCCCCCCACCTGCTGCCCCCTCCCTCCGCCCTGCACCCCTCCGCCACGCTTTCCTACTCCCACCACCCCTCCTCCGGCATGGTGCCCACCCTGGTGTAGGGGCGCACAGGCGCAGCAGTGCCCACCCACGGACGCAGGCTCTCTCACGCTCGGCTGCGTCCCCGGTTCACAGCAAAGACCCCCCCCGTCCCCCAGCGCCCCGGCACACCGGCACGAGGGGTACACCTCCCGTCAGGGACACCAGCCCCCCTCGGATGGGGGCGCCGTGCCGCCTCGGCCCTCACCGCCACACGCTGCGGCTCCAGCGCCCCGAGACGCGGAGACAGGAGGGGTGTCACTGTCTCGGCGTGTGCGCTGGGCAGGAGCGAGCTGCGCAGGGGGTGGGGTCCCCCAAACTCTGTCTCCATACTGACCTCTCAGTTAGGGGTCCGGTCACCAGGGGGTGAGCGTCATCCTCCAGGGGGGGGGCAGGGGGGCAGGGGGACACCCGCCCTCCCCCAGTCCTCGTGGGACACCCCTGGGCCACAGAGGTCAGAGGTCAGAGGTCACGCAGGGATACTCAGGGCCAGGGTGACACCTTCTACAGCCCCAGCGCCCCGGACGACAGACAACACGACTCTGAAGAACGATTTTCTACCAATTCCTTTTAATTTCCCTCCGAAATGACAAAGGTTGTAGATATAATTTTAAATATTTTCCCTATTTTTTGAATGGGTGGGGCAGATTTGTAAGAATTATTTAATCTGTTGTGATCTGATCCTGTTGTTTTTTTTTTGTCTTTTCAACATCCTGAAGTAAAAGAACATTAATAAATACCATTTGTGACCATCACATAAGAAGTGAGATTTTTTCTTTTAAAAAAAAGTATTTTTCTGTCAGTCTTAATTTGCCCTTGAGTTTTAGTCCTGAATCCGCGTGAACGCTTTTCTCTTCAACAAAACGATTTATGTTATGATCTGCCGTGAAACAGTCTTCATACTTCATACAGCCGATTACCAGACCACTTAAAGGCACTGAACGGCGGGCTGTCGATGCTGCAGATCCATTCTCTCTGTGAAGCTGCAAAGAGACGTTTTTGCACTGTTGTCTCAACAGTGTTTGTGACTCATAATAAGAAAGCGAATTACACTGTTGCAAAAGGAACTGTGCTTTAGTCTGACATCTGTGCCCAGGTTTGAATTATTATTATTATTATTATTATTATTATTATGTGCAGTCGCAGAAGGGCAGAACAGAAATCAATCAAACACGAGCCCTTCTGAAGAAGCGGGTGTTCAGTCTCGATGTGAAAGCGCTCAGGAAGGTGACTCTCTGATACGTTTGGGGTTAGCATTTCAGAGCTTTGAGCCACGTCACCTATAAAACGCAAGTAACAGTGACTGGTCGTCTAATTAATTGGCCTTAATATTTATTTTAAGCTTCTTTTTTTTTCGCTGAGGTTTGATGTCTTAATCTGTGCCGTGTTCCAAACCTGGGCAGGGACGCGCGCAGACAGCAGGAAACATCCCCGTGAAAAACACGGAGGTGCACAGGCACGTCCCGCTGGCTCGGGGCCTCCGTGGGGGGGGGAGGGCGCGCGCAGAGCCAGACGCTGTTCCGGCAGCCGCGCGGCTGTGCGGTCGGGCCGGAATGGCGGCCGTCTCCGCCACATCTTCTGCGCAACGCCGTCTGCCTTCAGAAATGAGATAAAAGGGAAGTTATTAACTGCAGTTCGGGAGGGATGACAACGGCAAGTCGCGCTCGGCTGTGCCGGACCGCCATCATTCATAAGACCAGCTCTACAGTTTATATCCACCGGACTCAAACTGTGCACTGTGCCTCTTCGCTTTCGTCTCCAGCCTCCCTCCTCCGCCCCGGCGCTTTGGGGCTCACTCCATCTGACTGGGGTTCGAGTCGCCTCGTCCTGTGGCCGGGGGGGGGCTGCCCCTGGACCAAGCGGGCTCAGCCCGACTTGAAGTAATTCGCCAAGTACTGCAAACGTTCACAGAGCATTGAGCACCGGCAGCGGACCTCTTCTCCTCCCCTCAGCTTTGCATTTGGATCGTCGTTACTGCCCATCGCTTCCAATCGTCGCCGGTCCGGTCCGGGGCGGAGGGGGAGCCGGAGTCTATCCCAGGAAGCAACGGGCACGAGGCGGGGTACACCCTTAACGGGACCCCAGTCCATCCCAGGGCAGACACACTCACGCCAGTTTCCCCCCAGGAGCCAGTTAACCCACCAGCAAGTCTGTGGACTCTGGGAGTAAACTGCAGCACCTGGAGTTAACCCAGGCGAACACAGAACATGCAAACTCCACACAGACAGCACCCCAGGAATTGAACCCAGGGCCCCAGCACTGTGAGGCAGCAATGCAAAGCACTGTGCCACCCCCTTTATTCTAATAATGATGATGACGATAATTATTATTATTGAGTGCAATATTCACACAACAGAGAAATGTAAATGTGACATAAAAATGTGCGTTTAAATGCATCGGAAATATAGATGCGTTTTGGGAAAACAGTCCTGCGTCTCCATTACACACCAGCCTCCGGCTCTGGCTGCTGGTGTCTGGAGCTGCTGCTGAGCTGTGTCTGGGTGAGTCTACAGCTCTGTCTCACACACACACATGCACACACGCACACGCGCCCATGACCTCGTCCAGTAACGGCGCGCCAGGGAAGAGCGCCGTCTGATCGCTGCGCCCCTGGAGCGGTTGGACTCGTCTGCGTCAGAGGGGGTCGTGTGCCTTTGACCCCGAGGCCAGACAGCCGTGGTTGAGGGGCTTGTGACACTTCTCCGTCTCTAACCACAGCTGCGTGTCGACAGAGCTGCGTCTGCAGCCTGGCAGCGGTGTGGCGCGGCGGCGGGGGGCCGGGGGCCGGGGGCCGGGGGCCAGGGGCCGGTTTCAAGCCCAGGCGAGGCGCTGCTGCTGCTGCTGCACTCCTGGGGGAGGAGCCTCGGCCGCGCACAGCTCCAGCACAGCGCCCTGCGGTCTGGGAGCGCCTGTGGGAGACCTTCCACACGAGCGCCGGACACCGCGGCAGGCGACGCCCACGCCGGCTCTGAGGCGCACTTCGGACACAACCTGCGGTCAGACCTGCTCAGATCTCGGAAGGGGAGCCGGGCCGGGCCTGGTCAGCGCCGGGAATGGAGTCCTCTCGCCAGTTGGAGCTGTTAGTGGTGCCGGTGGACCAGTAGGGGGCGATCCTCCTCACTCCGGACCATAATTCCCCCCTGTATGTTGACCAGGGACACTGTGTCCTGTGTCCTGTGATCTGTCCTTGGGATGAGACACTAAGCTGAATTCCTGATGACTGGTCCCTTATTGCTATGGCCCTATTTGTGATGGGTGGTATCTGGGGTGTCCATGCAAAACTCCTCTCTGGTCACCCCCCCCC